AATATTAATAATAAAAAACTTATAAAAAAGTTTTTATATTATATTTTTTAATTATATAAAATATTAAAAAGTATTATTTTAAATTAAAAGTTAATTTTTATAAATATATTTTAATAAAATTTCTATTACTTTCTAAAATATAAGTAATAATTTAGTATTACTTTTTATTTATAAATAAATAATTAAACTAAGTATTAAAACTAAAACTTAAAGTATTACCTTTAAGCTTTTTATAATAAGAATTAACTTAACTAAATTTATAAATTTCCTTTAGTAAAGTTTATTTATAATATAGCCTAATATTTTATAATTTATAAAATATTAATATACCTTTTACTAAAATATAACTTAGTAATATTTATAATTAATTAAATTTAATTATTATAAATAAATAACAATATTATAAAATAAATAAAAAAAATATAAAATATATAAAAAGTAGTAGTAAAAATACTATATAAAGTTAGTAAATTTTATAAAAAGTAATATAATTAAAAATATTTAAAAAAAAAATTTAAAATTAGTAATTAAGTATTAATATTAATAAAATACTTAAATTTATAGTAATTAATTTATAAATTAACTAAGAAGTTTATAAAGCTTTACTAAATAAAATATATTATAAAAATAAGTAAGCTTATATATTAATTATAATTTCTTTTATTAATTAAAATTTATAATATTTTTAATTTTATAAACTTAAAAAAGTTTAAAAATTATAATAATATATTAATTAAACTACTAAATTACCCTTTTATACTAAAGATAATTTATAAAGTTAAGAAAATTATTTTATATTAATATAATAAAAAAAAGTAATTATATTATATTAAATAAATAAAATACTTAGCTAAAGAAAATATATAAATTAAAAAATTAAATTTTATAAATAAAATAATATTATAAAAATATAAAAATACTTTTATAATTTTATAATTATAATAATACTATAAAAATATATACCCCCCTTAATATATTAATACTATAGTAAAATATATAAATTAATTATAAAATTAAAACCTAAATAATATTTTTAATAATACTAAAGTTATAAATATAAGTAAGTAAATAAATAATCTTATAGTAATTTTTATATATAAATATATCCCTTTATAATAAAATATTAATAATAATAATTATAAAAATAAAAAATTAGTTAAAAATATAAGGGGTAGAATAACTAAAGAAAAAATAATATAATAACTTTAATAATAAAAATTAATTACTATATTATAAAAGAAATTAAAATAATATAAGAAAAGTAAGTAATTTATTTAAAGCTAAAATATAAATAAAAAGTATAAAGTAGTTAATAATAAATTTTAAATAAAAATTAAAAAAAAAGTAACTTAAAGTAAAAAAATAAAAAAATTATAATATTTTTATATATAGTAAATATATTTTATATATAATTAATTATAATTAAGTATAAAGGTTATATTTATTATTAAGAGGTTTAGTAAAGCTATAATAGCTAAGTCAAAGGAAGACTATACTCTAGCCTTTAGTTTAAAATCTAAAATTAATCTATAGCTTAACCTAATTAGCTATAGCTAACTAAGTTAAACCTTAAAGATTTAGGCTATAAAGTATAACCGCTAATTAAGGTTTAAGACTAAACTTAAATATATATATATACATAAAAAGGCCTAAATAATAAGGTTTAAGTATAATATAAGCTTTAAGCCCGCAACTTATAGTTTAATAACTTAACTAGACCAGATAGGCTGTTATATTATTCCGTTAGGTTATAAAAGGCAGCAATAATCCTGCTTAAAAATGGATTGCGTACGCAACGCAAAAGACTACCTGATGAGACCACGCACCCACTTATAATAGCCATAACTTGACCTTAACCTAGAATATATAGCAAGATAGCTAAGTAAATAATTAAATTTATAATTAATAAGATTATAAACCTATAATTAGAAGCTTTAAAAAAGGAAAGACTAAAGCTAGGTAAGGTAAAGTATAAGCTAAACTAGCTAAAGGGTATTAAAAACCCTAAGCTAGGTAAAGGGATTAAGAAAATTATTAAAAAAGCTAATAAAGTAGCTAATTAAAGGTATATATAAAGGCTTTTTTATAACTGGTTTCTTTTAGGCAGTTTATCCTTTGTACCTAGGAGAGATTTAAGAATATATAAAAAATAAAATTTTAAAAAAATTAAGTTTATTTTAGTTATAAATATAAAAAAGTTAAAAATAATATATATAAAATAATTTAATAAGCTAATTTAAATATTATTTATTAAAAAGAATAATTTAATATATTATTAAAATATTAATAACTAAAAGTAATTATATATTTTAGAAAAATATATTAAAATAGTATTATAAATAATATATAATAATTAATTTTATACTAGGCTATAGAAAATATTAAATATATTATAAAGCCTAAGTATTTTTAGAATATTTTATAAAGTTTAGTAATATATAATATATTACTTAATATATATAGTAAATTATATAAATAAATTTTAATAATTAAAAAAACTTTAATTAATTTAAATAAAAGTATAATTATTTTATATTATAGCTATAGACTTTATAAAAGTTATATTTATTATTAAAAGGTTTAGTAAAGCTATAATAGCTAAATTAAAGGAAAGTTATACCCTAGCCTTTAGTTTAAAATCTAAAATTAATTTATAGCTTAACTTAATTAACTATAATTAACTAAGTTAAACCTTAAAAATTTAGGCTATAAAATATAACTATTAATTAAAATTTAAGACTAAACTTAAATATATATATATATATAAAAAAGCCTAAATAATAAAATTTAAATATAATATAATTAGCTTTAAGCTTATAACTTATAGTTTAATAACTTAATTAAACTAAATAAGTTAATTATTTTATTAAGTTATAAAAAGTAATAATAATTTTTAAAAATAAATTATATATATAATACTTTTAAAATTAAAAAACTACTTAATAAAACTATATACTATAATAACTATAACTTAACTTTAACTTAAAATATATAATAAAATAGCTAAATAAATAGCTAAATTTATAATTAATAAAATTATAAATTTATAATTAGAAATTTTAAAAAAAAAAACTCAAGTTAAGTAAAGTAAAATATAAGCTAAATTAATTAAAGGGTATTAAAAACCCTAAGCTAAGTAAAGGGATTAAGAAAATTATTAAAAAAGTTAATAAAGTAGCCTAAAATAGTAAGTAAAATTTATATAGTAATATATATATAATTAATTAAACTAGCTAATTAATTAAAGGTATATATAAAAACTTTTTTATAATTAATTCCTTTTAGGCAGTTTATTTTTTATACTTAGGAGAGATATATTATAATATAATATATTTTTAAGTAATAAAAATTTATTAATTATTATTATAAAGGTTTTTTAAGAAAAGTAATTTATATTTAAATTATAATATAAATATATATAAATTATTTAGAATTTTAATTAATTTTAAATTTATTTTATTAATAATATAAATAATAATTATAAATATATTAAATATAAACTATTATTAATTATTTAAGTAATTTTTTAAAAAAGTAATAAATAATAATAATAATTATAATATACTTAATATTTATAATATTATTTTTTTTTATTTTTTAAGAAAAATTAAATAATATAATTAATTTATTATTTATTAAAAAAAACATAATAAATTAATTTTATAATAATTATAAATAAGTATTTAAATAAATAAAATTATAATTTTTCAAAAAGAATATTAAATATATATATATATTACCTTAATAAATATTTAATTAATAATTCCTTAGGTTTATTATAAGTTTAAATTAAAACCTTAGTAAAAACTATAAGAATTAAGCTTATTATTAATTTAAGTTTAATTTAAGTTTAACCTAGGGTTAAATAAGTATTAATTTAAGTATAGCCTAAATTTATAATAATAATATTATATTTTTAATATATTTCTCCTAAGTATAAAAAATAAACTACTTAAAAAAAACTAATTATAAAAAAGCTTTTATATATAGCTACTTTATTAACTTTTTTAATAGTTTTCTTAATTCTTTTACTTAGCTTAGGGTTTTTAATACCCTTTAGTTAATTTAGCTTATACTTTACCTTACTTAATTTTAGTTTTTTTTTTTTTAAAGCTTCTAATTATAAATTTATAATCTTATTAATTATAAATTTAGTTATTTACTTAGCTATTTTACTAAAAAGTAAGTATATAATTTTATTAAGTAATCTTTTATATTATATATATAATTTATTTTTAAAAATTATTATTACCTTTTATAACTTAATAAAATAATCCTATTTAATTTAGTTAAGTTATTAAATTATAAATTATAAGCTTAAAGCTTATATTATACTTAAACTTTATTATTTAGGCTTTTTTATATATTTTAAGTTTAATCTTAAATTTTAATTAGTTATACTTTATAGCCTAAATTTTTAAAATTTAACTTAGTTAACTATAGTTAATTAAGTTAAGCTATAGATTAATTTTAGATTTTAAACTAAAGGCTAGGGCATAGCTTTCCTTTAATTTAGCTATTATAGCTTTACTAAACCTTTTAATAATAAATATAACCTCCTTTATATTTTTAATATATTATAAATTACTTAAACTTTTTAAGTTAATTTCTTTTTTTTTTTTTAATTAATATATTAGAAAATATTTTTATAATAAGTTATATTATAATTTCCATAGCTTTTATTCCATTAGGACCTAGGTTATAATCGCGTACTGCATTGCTAACAAAGGTAAGTCATTATCAAATACCTGCGAGGTGCCTTACCTACTTCAAAGGGATACAATGCCCGCAGAAGAAGCTTTTGGTGTCTGTGGAGACTGGACCAAGGAAAGGTCGTTCCCTTGCAACACGCACTTACCCCCTTTTCTTCATGTCTCTAGGGTAGGATAACCCAACGATATATATTTTCAAATATATATCGTTGGGTTATCCTACTAATAACTCTGGTATACTTTTATACAAGGCTTAAATTAGATTCTCTCATCGTCTTCCTCGGCAATATGGCAACTCAAGATGATTCTTCTAGTTTCTCCAGCGACAAGGATTCTGTCGCTATAATTGGTCTTGCTTGCCGTTTCCCCGGCGATGCAACTGACTCGGAGAAATTCTGGCAGATGCTGTGTGACGGTAGATGTAAGTAGAAGTTTTCCCGACCGTTTGATGGGGATCGATATCTCTGACCAGTCCACACGGGTTTTCCCTTTAACAGCGGCTGTCTCCAAGGTGCCGCTTGATCGATGGAACAACGATGGGTTTTACAGCGGGAAAAAGGGGCGGCAAAACATTAACACCACTGAACGCGCGCACTTCCTGAACGGCGATATTTCGGCCTTCGATGCGAACTTCTTCTCTCTCTCCCGGCCGGATGCAATCGCAATGGATCCCCAGCAGAGACTGATGCTTGAAGTTTCATACGAGGCCTTCGAGAACGCCGGTCTCCCCCTGGATCGGCTAGCGGGAAGTAAGACCGGCTGCTTCGTTGGCTCGTTCTCTCACGACTGGAGAGAGATGCAGTTTCACGACCCAGATTCAGCCCCTACCTATGGTTTGTCTGGTATGCAGGCTGAGATGCTTGCAAACCGACTGTCATGGTTCTTTGATCTCCGAGGGCCGAGCATTACCCTCGAGACGGCCTGTTCTTCCAGCTTGGTCGGCCTACATATCGCTTGCCAGAGCTTGAAGGCTGGTGATTGCAAGGTCGCGCTCGTTGGCGGGGCCAATCTTCTCCTAAGCCCAAACATGTTCTTGACTCTGTCAAATCAAGGCTTTCTGTCCCCCGATGGTCTCTGCAAAGCATTCGACGCTTCTGCGGATGGATACGGCCGAGGAGAGGGTTTTGGTGTTGTGATTCTCAAGCCGATCGAGGACGCAATTAGAGATGGTGATCCTATCCGGGCCGTCATACGCGGCACTGGCTCCAACCAAGATGGCAAGACAAAAGGTCTCACAATGCCCAACGGCCAAGCTCAGGAAGCTCTGATCCGGGAGACGTACCGCTCTGTTGGGCTTGACCTCAAGGACACCGGATACTTTGAAGCCCATGTGAATCACTTTTCTATGATCTTCCAGCGCGCGCAGTACTGACATGGCCTAGGGGACGGGGACCCAGGCAGGTGACTTTGAAGAACTGGGAGCCATCGCAAGAACCATCGGCGCCGCGCGCAAAGATGCAGGAATCGACAAGCTGTGGGTCGGTTCGGTGAAAACTAACGTGAGATCGAACCTCGCCACATCACCCGTCGCGTTGTAGTATTGCTGACATTAGGACAAGATCGGCCATCTGGAGGCAACGGCTGGACTAGCGGGTATTATCAAAGCAGTGTACGTACTGGAGCATGGCTCCATCCCGAAGAACCTGTTCTTCGAGAACCCAAATCCCAGAATTCCGTTTGATTCGTGGCATTTGGCCGTACCAACTGATCAGATACCCTGGCCCGACGATGATGTTCGCCGCATCAGTGTCAACTCGTTCGGTTTCGGCGGGTCGAATGCTCACGCCATCCTTGATGACGCTCACCACTACTTTGCTCGGCGGGGTATCAAGCTCAAGCTGCAAGATCCTGTTCCGACACGTTCCTGTAGCGTGGGACAGGAATCTCGAGGCGTGCAGCCCCTTCTTCTACTGTTGAGCTCCAGCGATTCATCAGGGCTGAATCGCCAACGCAATGCCCTTCTAAAGTACTTGAACATGTCTCAAATGGATCAAGGGACCTCTCCGGACTTCCTGCGGGACCTTGCGTTTACTCTCAACGAAAAAAGGTCTCGCTTGCCCTGGAAGTCATATTGCAGCGCCTCTACAGTCTCCCAGCTGCGTGAAAAGTTGGAAGCAAAGGACTTTCCAAAGGTGCGCTCCTTCGCAGACCCAAGGCTCGCTTTTGTTTTCACGGGGCAAGGCGCGCAGTGGGCACGTATGGGAGTTGAGTTGCTCGATTTCCAAGTCTTTAGGGAAAGTGTGGAAGCAGCAGACGCATACCTCCGCAATGACGACTGCACATGGTCCCCTCTCGAAGAATTGCAGCGTGAGGAAGCGACATCCAATGTTCATCATTCCTCACATAGCCAGGTGCTGTGTACCATCTTGCAAATTGCGCTGGTCGAGCTACTTCGGTCTTGGAAAATATTGCCCCGGTCCGTGGTCGGCCACTCGAGCGGCGAGATCGCCGCCGCCTACACCGTCGGTGCGATCGCGCGAGAGGATGCTTGGCGCATTGCGTATTGGCGCGGTAAGCTATCATCCAACTTGACCAGTCTCGCACCACAGCTTCGGGGCTCAATGATGGCGGTTGGCTGCTCCCGAGAGGTTGCGGAGACACATATCGCCACGAGCGTCACGGAAGGCCAATGCGTTGTCGCCTGCGTCAACGCCCCCTCCAGCGTCACCATATCCGGGGATGATACTGCCGTAGCTGAGCTCCAAACAGCGCTCGAGAAAAAGGGTATCTTCGCTCGAAAGCTCAAAGTCGCAACGGCGTATCATTCACATCATATGAAAGTCGTCGAGGACGCATACCTTGCAGCCCTGCAGGGCCTCAAACTTAGAGATGTTGGTTCCGATGCGCCACAGATGTTCACATCCGTGACGGAGTCCGTGTTGCAGCCCAGTGATCTCGACGCCTCCTACTGGGTGCGAAACCTGGTCTCTCCGGTGCTGTTCGCCGGAGCGGTATACCAGCTTGCCCGGCCAAAGGACGAAAAAGACGAAGCAACAGGCGCTGCGGTGGAGTTGATACTCGAGATCGGGCCGCACTCGGCTCTACAAGGTCCAATCACGCAGGTGCTGCAAGCTCACGGCCTCCAGCAGGTCAAGTACAGCTCACTCTTGAGCCGCGGAAACAACGCGATTGATACTGTGCTGGCTGTTGCCGGCGACTTAGTCTGCCACGGCCTGCCTGTCGATATGGCGGCCATAAACGGTGCAACAGCTGCGCGGGATTTGGCGGGCCACCTGCCAATATTGGTCAATCTCCCCCCCTACTCTTGGAATCACACAAAGACATACTGGACGGAGTCTCGAGTGACTCGGAAGTTCAAGCAGCGATCGTCGGTCCAGTCAAATTCCCTGGGAGCACCGTGGCCTGCTGTCGGCACAGCTGAACACTTATGGCGAGGCTTTCTACGCGCTAGTGACGAACCTTGGGTTCGTGACCATAAAGTTCAGACCAACATTCTATATCCAGCAGCCGGATTCTTAGCTATGGCGGTGGAAGCAGCGATCCAAGTCAGCGAGCCAAGCCATGCGCCGACGCGGCTCAGGCTCCGAGAAATTCATTTCAACAAGCCCATCGTGATGACGGAAGAGTCTGCGACGGAGGTCATCGTCCGGTTGACCCCACCTGCTAATGGCACTTTCAGTTCCGGGGACGCCTGGCACGAGTTTAAGATCTCATCATCCTCAAATACGGAGGAGGAGCTATCTCTCAACTGTTCTGGGCGTTTATCGATAGAATGTGGAGACGAGATGAGCCCAGCTGCTCGCGACGAGACTGTGATGGAGCAGCAGAGCAGCAGAAGCAGTTATGCTGCCGCTCTGGAGTCATGCACGACCGCCAAGGATACCCTCTCGTTCTACAGCCAACTGGACAGCGTGGGTCTACATTATGGTCCGTCATTCAGGGGCTTGAAGAATATCCATTACGATACCCACGGGCGATGCTGCTGTACTGTCCAAATTGCGAAGGCGGAGTCCGAGCCCGAGTCGAGAAACAAACCACCCAAGAGATACTATACCATCCACCCCACCTGTCTCGAGAGCATGTTCCACTCGGCTCTTGCAGCTATTGTCGCTAAACATGGAAGAGTCAAAGGCGCTTTTGTAGTCAAGTCTATTGACGAAATCACCATCGACGCCAACATCCCTTCCTCTGCAGGTGCGCATTTTTGCGGGTGGTCCACGGCAAGAAGCCTAGGATTCCGCGACATCACATCGGATATTTCCATGTTTGAGGATACAAACGGTAATCCGACTGTGATAGTGAAGGGTCTCCGCCTCACTGAGGTGCCATCTGCTGCTAGTGATCTCGTCGAAGACACGCCGGCGAAGGCGATGGCCAGCAAGGCGGTATGGGCTCCGGCAGTCGATCTTCTTCAATCTTCTCAGTGGAAGTCAGTAATGTATGACACAACGCAGCCGGCCACCCGTGATGCCGAAAACGTCCTCATAAGCGAGCGAGCAGCCATGGGGGCCGTAGAAAGCGCAATCAACCGCGCAGAGGAAAGCCGCACCTTGACAGTGAAATTGCGGAACGCCACAAGATGGATCACCAAGCAGCTAAAACAGAGCCCCAACAAGCCGGCGGGCGGCGCTGCCGGTCCGGCGGAGACCAAATTCGAAACGACGCTCACTCGAGTTCTGATGGGCGACCTTGATCCGGCCTGTCTGCTTGACGGCTCGAGAAGCATTCGCGAGTTTATCAAGCGGCAGAGTGGAATGAATGCATTTCCAGATATAGTCACCAATGCAAGTTTTAGTTTTCCCTCGGCAGAGCCCGCTAATACATCAATAGGTTATTAGTGCAATCGCGCACACGGAGCCAAGGATTGCGGTCCTCGAGCTGGACTGCGACAGGAATGCGGCACAACCATCATTTCTGGGCTCAGCGGCAACTCTTCCAGCGTCGATTAAATACACTTTTGCGTCGCCAAATGCGGATGAGATCGAGAGACTGCGACAGGGGCCTGCCGCATCGACTACCTTCCCAGTTAGCTACAGTACTCTGGACGTCGAACAGGACCTTGGGGACCAAGGTATTCAGCCCAAATCATATAATCTCATTGTTGGCTTCAACATTATATCAGATGCTGCCAATGCGGAAAATATAGTCCTGTCTCTGAAATCGCTGTTGGCCGACGGTGGGAGGCTCTGCCTTGTGGAATTGACGAAGCCACGGCTACAAGCTCTTCCAGCTTTAGGCATCCTTTGCAATTGGTGGAAGTGGGTATATCGATATATTCAAGCTGCGAATCACAAAACTGACATTCGATAGGAAGCGTGACGATGGCTCGGCCCGCCCGCTCCAACTGGGGTTCATTCATGACCTCCTCTCACAGGCGGGATTCGCAGTGGATTTTGTTGATTCCGATGGTGTCGACCCACGCTTCTATGGTCTGACAACTATAGTTGCAACAAAGGCATCCATTGTATCAAGTATATCCTTGTCGCGGGACGAGCTGATTGTTCTCAAGAGGAGGGACAGTCCGGAGGGTGTCAACGCCCTTATTTCCGAGCTGGCTAAGATGCTAGAAGCGAAATCGGTTTCTGTCCGTATTATCAGCTGGGGTGAAAGCAGAACCAATTTCAAAGATACAAACGTCCTCAGCCTCCTAGAGTACGATACGCCTTTTCTGAACCAGCTGACTGAAGAGGACTTCGCCGCTGTGAAAGACGTCGTTACGGAGACAACAAGCCTAAGTTGGGTTACAGCTCTGGGCGAGCCTCACTGCTCTACCGTTACTGGTTTCGCGCGGGTTCTCTGCTCTGAAATTTCTGGCCTGAGGTTCAGGACTCTGCAGCTGAGCCTCGAGACCAGTCTCTCGGGTGCTGATTCAGCAGCGGAAATCGTCTACCGATTTCTCAGCAGCACCACGGCAGATAATGAGTTTAAAGAAGAGTCGGGCTTCATCAATATCTCCCGGATCATGCTTGACCATGATACAAGCCAGCAGCTCTCTAAACTAGCCTTTGGTGAAGCCATAGAGCTACGGTCCTTGGGCACCGGCGGTGAGCCGAAAGAGCTCTGCGTGCGCAATCCTGGGATGCTAGATTCGTTGTTCTTTAGGTCAGCTTCTGAAAGAAGTGTTGACCTCGAAGATGATGAGGTAGAGATTCAAGTGAGAGCTAGCGGATTGAAGTAAGTCACTTCATTTTCAAATCCTCTGGAGACCCCATTCTAACGGCATTTCAGCTTTCGAGATGTCATGGTTCTGATGGACCAGATCTCCGATGAACTTCTAGGATTCGAAGCTAGCGGGGTGGTACTCCGTGTCGGCAGGGACGTGACCGAATTCAAGTCCGGCGACAAAATCTGTACTCTCACGCACGGCGCGCATCGTACAGTCCTACGAAGCAAGTCGGACGCGTGTCAACATATTCCCCAAGGTCTGAGCTTCGAGGAAGCTGCGTGCCTCCCGCTGGCGCACTGCACGGCATATCACGCACTCGTGAACGTTGCCCACGCCCAAAAAGGCCAGTCTATCTTGGTTCATGCGGCGGCTGGCGGAGTCGGCCAAGCCGCCATCCAGCTCGCGCAGCATCTCGGGTTGGAGCTTTTTGCCACAGTTGGATCTCCCGAGAAGAGAGATCTGCTACACGAGAAGTACCATATCCCTCACAGCCATATATTCTATTCGCGTGATGCTAGCTTCGCTAAAGGGGTGCTCCGTTTGACTGATGGCAAAGGAGTAGATTGCATCCTTAACTCACTTTCAGGAGAGATGTTGCGGCACACCTGGTACTGTCTGGCTCCGTTTGGCACTTTCGTCGAGATTGGCATGAAGGACCTGTTGGGAAACGCGGCATTGGATATGAGGCCATTCCTGAAAGACACTACCTTTGCCGCGATCGATCTGAAGTATATCTCCAAAGCTCGACCTGGCATGTTGGCGGAACTCCTTCGAAATACCTTTCATCTTCTGAGGCAAGGCTTCTTGAAACCTATCACTCCCCTGACTGTATACCCGGCTTCGCGGGTCGAGGACGCTATGCGGCTTATGCAAGCAGGCAAGCACCTGGGCAAGATCGCGTTATCCTACTCTCCGCAAGATGTGGTTCCCATGCTATATAATCCAAACACTGCCGTTAAGGTCGACCCAGACAAGACATATTTGATTGCGGGAGGACTTGGTGGAATCGGACGCAGCTTAGCGGCTTTGCTCATCGAATGCGGAGCTCAACATCTCGCTTTTGTCTCCCGATCAGGGGCGGCGTCACCCCTCCGGGAAGCATTCCTACGAGACCTCAAGAAGGTAGGAGTCAACGTTGGTGTTTATAAGTGTGACATTTCTGACGCCAATGCGCTTGGGGAAACCCTCCACCAATGCTCGAAAGAGATGCCTCCGGTGAAGGGCGTAATTCAGTCCGTGGCGGTCCTCCGAGATTCCATCATATACAATATGACGTTCCGGCAGTGGAATGAGGCGCTAGAGGGAAAGCTCCAGGGCAGCTGGAATTTGCACGAGCAGACGCCGCGCGATCTCGATTTCTTCTTGTGCCTTGGCTCTTTCATCGCCACAATCGGCAGCCGCAGCCAGAGCAACTACGCTGCCGGATGCGCATTCCAGGATGGCCTGGCGCACATGCGACAAGCGATTGGGCTGCCAGCCGTGACAATAGATTTGGGCATCATGAAGGGCATCGGCATCATCGCCGACCAGGGGGCTGCCGGCGATGCCCTCGAATGGCGGGACCTGACTGGCGTCGACGAATCCGAGCTACACGTACTTGTCAAGCTGGCCATCGCCGGCCAGATGTCTAGTGCAGAGAAGAGGTGCCCTCCGCAAATCATTAACGGTGTCCCGACCGGTGCCATGGTACGAGAAGCAGGTGTCAGGAAGCCGTATTTTCTCGAGGACCCACGCTTCGCCGCGATAGCAGCTATCGGCTCGCAGGACCAGATGGAAATGAGCGGCGGCAAGCAGACGGCACTACTGAAAGATCAACTTGCACAATGCGATAACTTGCCGGCCGCGGTGCATCTTGTTACTGGCGCGTTAGTCGCCAGAGTGGCAAAGCTGATGCACCTCGATCTCGTCGACATCGACGATGAGAAACCTCTGTATGGCTATGGGGTCGACTCACTCCTCGCTATCGAGATGGTCCAATGGATCAAGAGGGAGACCCAAGCGGAGATGACCGTTTTTGATGTTATGTCATCGCTGTCTTTGAAATCCTTTTCCGCGGCCATTATCGCAAAAAGCAACCTTTCAACCGGTTCCAGCGCGGCCATCAATGGATCTTAGCAGTTCACGAGGACATAATCGGGGGTATCGGTTCTAAAAAAATGAAATTTTGTCGATACTGGACCGCTAGGGCAAAATGTGAATCCACAGTTATTTACAGAGGGTTAGGGTTATATGTGACTGACTGGGGTGGGGCTTCGCTGATTCTCGGTCAGCGAAGGGTTTGACACCAATATGGCGTGAAATTCCATCTACAAGGCTGTGATATTATCTGTTCCTTCTTCCAAACCTACGACGTAGATCATTTTCAAGTCTTATGAAGTCGCGGGGACGGAGAGATGTTTTTTAGGCTTCCTCATAGATGCTATCGCTTTACTTAACCCTATCTCTAAAGCCATAGATTCAAAAACTACAGTTCTTGCGCTTATAAAATCCGATCGGCATTATCGTAAACATATCCTTCCATTCGTCAACAAACAAGCCATACTACGTGTCATCGACACAATCCAGTCTGAGAAGGAAATAGAGTCAAAGACAGTGTATATCGTTACAAAAGAGCTGCTGTGTCGACTAACACGATCCGCGAGAGTATGCCATGCATGTCTTGACCCTCACGATGAAGGCTGCGATGACCTCATGGTGGACAGTTGCTTCAGCATAGTCACCATAAAGACATCACAGTATTTGGAGACAAACTACTTCCCAGCCGGGCAAAACTCGTTGCCCTTGCGATCAAATGCCCAGGCAAGAGATGAAGCTGACTCTAATATTGAAATCCATTGAAAGCCAACGAGAAGTTCTTCCGCAGCATTATTCTGTAGATGCTCCTTTAACTAGTACTAATACACCCTGCCGCAAGAACATCTGGAGGAGCCTTCACATTGAGATAGCACAAGAGATATTAAACTACTTATTATGACCTAATTTAGTATAAGTATATACTTTAAATAAAGTATAAATTAAAGAACTAATAAAGAAAGGATTACTTAAATAATATACCCTTAATAAATTACTACTATAATTTATTATAATTTAATAAACTTTTAATTTAATAATAATTTAAAAATAGTAATTAAATATATAAGATTTTATTTTTTATATATTATAAATATAATTATTAATAAAATATTAAAATTAAATATATAATAGTAATTAAAAAGGGTATTAATTAAGCTAATAATTAAAAAATTAGTAATACTAATACTTTATATTAAAATTCCCTTTATAATAGCTTATATAATAAATAATAAATTATAATACCCTTTAAGGCCTATAATTCTATTATAATTATCCTTCTCTTTTATAAGCTAATACTTAATAGCTTTATAGTAAGGGATATAAGATATTTTACTTAAGTACACTAACTTAACTAACTTAATAGCTTAACTAGAATATTTTATTTTAGGCTTATTAGCCCTATAGGCTAATATTAACTTTTAGAAAATTACTATTTATAAGCTTAATATAAAAAATTTAAAAAGGCTTTTAGCTTAGTTAAGCTAGTTTTATTACTGCCTTAAGCTAAATTTAAATTTATAATTTTTAAAAAATTTATAAAATACTAATATAATTATAATAATAATTAAAAAAAGTATTAATTAAGTTAATAATTAAAAAATTAATAATATTAATATTTTATACTAGGATTTTTTTATAATAGCTTATATAATAAGTAATAAATTATAATGCCCTTTAGGGCCTATAATTTTATTATAAAATATAAATTAAATTTTTATTTTATTTTATTTATTTTATAATTATATTTACTTAAAGTTATTTTTTATTTTTTTTTATTAATATAAATTAATTAACTTTAGTTTATTACCTTAAGAATTACTTTATATTACTAAAGTATTAAATTAAAATACTATATATTAATAAGTTTTATATAAAAAGTATTAAGTATTTTTAAGTAATATAAATTATTATATTAAAATTAATTTAATTATTAATATTTTACTTATTAATATAATAAACTGGGTCTTATAAACTAATATAAGTTAGTTATTCCTAAGGGATAAACCTTAGAATAATTCTATAGTTTATATTAGTAAAGTAGTTAAGTTAGTAAATAAGTAATTTTATTATTAATTAATATAAATAAGAAATAAATATCTAGGTTTTAATTTAATTATATTATAAATACTATAGCTATAATAATAACTAATTATTTAAGTATTTTTATAAGTAATATAAAGTAAACTTATAAAGGTTATATTTATTATTAAGAGGTTTAGTAAAGCTATAATAGCTAGGTTAAAGGAAGGCTATGCCTTAGCCTTTAGTTTAAAATTTAGAATTAATCTATAGCTTAACTTAATTAGCTATAGCTAACTAAGTTAAACTTTAAAAATTTAGGCTATAAAGTATAATTATTAATTAAGGTTTAAAACTAAACTTAAATATATATATATATATAAAAAAGCTTAAATAATAAAGTTTAAGTATAATATAAACTTTAAGCCTATAACTTATAATTTAATAATTTAACTAAACTAAATAGGATTATTTTATTAAGTATTAGAGCTAAGTAATAGACCTAATATTAAGGCCTTAAAAACGCATTAACCTTATAGTAAAACTTAGTATTTATATTATAATATTACTTTAATTATACTAGGAAAATATAAGCTAAGGGCTATATAGCCTTTAGTATAGTAGTAAATATTATATAATAATTATAAATTTTATAAAATTATAAAAAGTTAAAAATAAATATAATTACTTTTATATATTTATTTTATATACTTAATATAAAACTTTTATAAATTTACTTTTATATTTTTTTACTTTTTTTTATTAACTTAACTTTTAATAAATTTATTTTTTTATTTATAAAAAGTAAAAAAATTATTAAAAATAAAAATAATTATTAATAATACTTATATATATAAATTATACTTTAGTAACTATAAGGTTATAATTTTATAAATTTAATAAATAATATAATTATAAATACTACTATAGATTATTTTATAAACTAATATTATAATATTATTACTAAGGGGACCCCTTAATATAGCTTTTTTACTTAAAAAAAAAACCCTTAGCTTAAACTTATATAAGTCTTTTTTATTTAATAAGCTATAAAAATATATTATTATTATAATAAAATTATAAAAAAAAAAAAAAAATTTAGTATTTTTAAGTAATTAAAAATAAAAAGAATTTTATTTTTAATTTTAATTTTTTAAAGCCTAAGGTTAAAGTAAAACTAAAGTAAATTTACTTTAATATATAAGGAAAAGTTTAAATATTAATTTTAAAATTTAAAAGTAAAAATTAAATAAAGCTTTAAATATACTTTATATACTTAAGTAACTAATTTAAACTTAAAAAAAAATAGTTTATTAAAAACTTTTATAAAATTTAATATATTAATAATTATTTTAAAAAAAATATAAAGTAATAATAAACTTTTTTTTAAAATAAAAAATACTAATATTTTTTTAATAATTTAATATATAATTAATATATAAAGTAATATAAAAATAATATTAATAATAAAACTACTTATATACTTAATATAATTATATTATTAAATAATATTAATTAAAATAAAAATAAATTATTTTAAATTTTCTTAGGAAGATTTAAAGTAATCCTTAGTAAAATTTTAAGTAATTTCTTAAATAACTTTTATATTTTTTAATTTATTAATAAATACCTTACTTTTTTATATAAGGGTATTTTTAATATTAAACTTTTTATAATTTAGTTAAACTTTTATAATATAAAAAAGTAAACTAAAGTAGTAAACTATAATAGTAAATTATAAAGCTTTAAAAACTATAATTAAAAAAAAAATAAAAAAATAATAATTTTTAAAAATTATAAAAAAATAATTAATAAAAAGGTAATATTAATAAAGTTATTATATCTTAAGAAAATACTTTTATAAAGTTAAATATATTAAAAAATAAATTTACTTTAAAGTTAATTTATTAAAAATATAATAAATTATACTTTAGAAATATATATATTATACTTAATTATAAAAAATATAATAATAAATATTATATAATAAAATATTATAATAACTTTATTAATAATAAAAGCCTAAGCTTTAAAGTTAATTTTATTTTTACCTTAAGAAAAGTATAAAGTTATATTAAAATTACTTTTTTACTATTTAAGTTTATTATTAATATTAAAAATTATAATTTAATTATAAAAAAATATTTAAAAATAAAAATAAAAAATAAATAAATAAAAATAACCTTTATATTAAATTTTAATAGTAATATTAATATAATATAATAGTAATTTATATTACTTAATTAAATTTTATTTTATAAAACTAAGCTTTACTTATTTAATAAAGAAAAAGTAAGTAATATATAAGGTATTATAATAAAGTTATATAAAATAATTAATAATTAAAAAATAATAAAATAATTTTAAATTCCTTTTTTTATTATAGTAAATATAAATAATAATATTTTTTTAAGTAAACTATAATATAATATAATTAACTTAAATATTTATTATTTATTAAAATAATAATATTATTAATTTTTAAAAAAAAACTTTAAAATTATAATATTTTATAAATAAGTATATAAATAAAATAAAAAAGTAAAAGTAAAAATAATTTTAATATAAAGTATTAAAAAAATAAACCTAAAGGAGAAATATATAAAGTATTTTTTTTACTTATATATTAAAAATTAAATATTAAAAAATTATAATAAAAAAAAATAAAAAAATTATTTTTTAAATACTTAAATTATATAAAAGTTTTTAATAAAAATATAATTATAAAACTTATACTCTTTAATAATTTAATATATATTATTAATATTAAATTTAGTATAATATTATTATAAAACTTTATTTACTTTTTTATAAATAATAAACTTAAAATTCTAAAGAAATATTTATAAAAAATAAAAAAAAAAACTAAATTTAAAAATTTAGTAATTTAATAAAAATATTAATATTTTTATATTAAAGAAAAAAGGAAAGTTATATTTTTATATTAATTATTATATATTAAACTAAGTAATTTATAAAAATTAAATATTTTTATTATTAATTTATAAAATTTTAAATTATTT